TCCAAGCTCTTTCCGTGTATATATACAGTACATGCATACAAACACACCACGTAGGCATAGAGGTGTACCTATAGCTATAGCCTTGACTCTATACTCACAGAATCCAGAAGGGTATGATATAAAAATATTTGTAGACACAGAAACAATTAAAAAGTGTTTTACAGTATATACAAACACACACACACACACAATCCAGAAATGTATGATTTACAAATATTTGCACACACACAATCAAAAAGTTTATTATACACAAATCTTTATCCATACATTGTGTCTAAATCCATCCTGCTGGTATGTATACATCCTCAAAGCATTGTGTATTTACATCTCTGTCCTTTTCTCTTTGCCTCTTTTTAAGAAAAATATATATATGAAATTGCAATATATTGTCAACGCCGTTCTCCTTTTCCGCTCCCCCTGCTTGTCAGTTGTTAACTCTGGGCAATTCTCAGTGAAATCCACATTCAGAGGTTTTGGAACCTGAACACACACACACACCCAAGCCAGTAATGGCATAACAATACATAATTCTATATAAAGACACATCAGACAAAAATCCTGTTAGTGCAGTTACACCAGTGTAAACTGGATCCAGGCAACAGAAGTCATTCATTAAGTTAAAAGTTTCTTATTCCCTTGTTTCGGCTTCTGAAGTTCTCTAGGGCTCCCCCACCACCACCACTGCCTTGGATGAGGATGTGTATGGGGGAAGCCTTTAAGATTTAAAAATCGCAGCTTGGTCACCTTAAATTAATTCCATAGAAACACAGAGTGGGAAGGGTTCCGTAAGGCCATCAAGTCCAACCCCCTGTTCAAGGCAGGAACCCAGATCAAAGCAGACCTGACAGACGGCTCTCCCACTTTCTCTCGATTTAATTCATTCAAAGTAATTATTTTCCACACCCAGATCCAGCTGATGCTGGCAAAACTGCACCAACAGGATTTTCCCTCCAGTAGGTGTACATAGAGGATTGTCCGACACTTGGAAAACTGATTTACATCCAGATCCTTTTCCAATGCTGGTGTTGAACTTTGAACGGTTGAGCTCAGGACTGGGGTGGGGGGAGGGGAATCCTCAAAGGTCTTCTTTCCTTCCTTGTGGATGATGTCTCTCCCCCCCCATCCCAACGGTGTCATCCGTGATCCATCTTCTTAGCATGGCAGAGCTGGAAGGGCCCCTACGGATCATGGTGTCCATCCCCTGTCAAGGAGGCATAGCGGGGAATCGAACTCCCAACCTTGGGCTTCGCAGACGGTACCTATTAACTTGGTACTAAAGACTCAAACTCAGACCCAAAGGCTTGTCAACATCCCTGTTGATCCATAGATCATATCTATATGTCTGTGTGGCCAGGCCCAGTTGCTCCATCAACATCACCTTCTGTTTCCTGTCTCTCCACTCCGGCTACCCATCGTGCTGCAGCAGAAGGATGATGGGATCAAGGCTCTGTGATCAGCTCAGTGGAGAGGCTGTCAATTTTTTTTGGGGGGGTGTCCCCCTGATCTATCTATCCATCTATCCATCCATCCATCCATCCATCCTTCCATCCTTCCATCCTTCCATCCATCCATCCATCCTTCCTTCCTTCCTTCCTTCCTTCCTTCCTTCCTTCCTTCCTTCCTTCCTTCCTTGATGCACTGTTTCCCTTGCAGCCGATCTTTTCGGAATTCTGAAATTAAACTGGACCCGATGTTTCATCTTCCGCTTCCAATCCTTTAAAACTCCCCTGTCTTGTGGTTATCAAGCCTGCGGGCAAACACTGCCTTATTATTGATCTTAGTGAGCCGCTCTGAAAGCCAGAGAAAAACTGCTTCAGTTGATTAAATATGTGCAGTGTTAAGCGCCAGCGTTCCAGCAGAAAAATCGATGTAAAAATAATAATCATTTCAAACTCTATGATTCATATCTGTTAAGCTGATTAGGGTTATCTTTGGCTGAAAATAATCATTTCCAGGAACTGGTCTGTTTATCTACTATAGGGGCGAGTGCCAGATTTCCTGAATTTATATACAGTACAAGTCTTCACATCTTACCTCCGAAGTCGAAGAATCAAGTACAGGTGGGAGTCCCACTCAAGTGGATTTTCAGAAAAAAATACATATTTTTGGATTATTTCATGTGCTGTCGAATGGTTTCAAAGCCCATAATTTCTTGATATCCAGAAAGTCCTTTCATTACAGCTCTTGTTATTCTGTCTTGTGGCTTCCTTGATCAAGTCAATCTACCTCATGTTTGATCTTCCTCTTTCCCTGCTGCCTTCAGCTTTTCCTGGAATTGTTGTCTTTTCTGGAGTCTTCTCTTTTCTTGATGTGACAGCCCATCAGTTTAAATATTTTAGTTTCTTGTGAGGGTTCAGACAGTAGGTCTGTCTTCTTTTTAATTAAAATCCAGGTAAAGCTTAGTCTAGATGCATTAATACAGATTCTGTGTTTTCAGCTTGTTTGGAGAAAGGAACCAGATTGATTTCGTTCTATGATATAAGAGATGGCAGGCAAGCATGGACTCACTTTGCCACGGTTCCCCCCCCCAAATGGGGGCAAGATCCCCTAATTGCAGTCATTATTTCTAATCACATCCCTCTTCTAAAATCAAACAAAGAAATTAAAACTGAATGATGAGCAGCGCCATCGCCATCCTACATAGGCTTGCCACCAGGACAATCCGTTTTATTAAATGGGCAGACCGTGTCAGGGTGTTTCGTTAATCTGGCAGATGTAAACACTGCGTGTCGGCCGAAGGCTTGGAATGAAAGGGAGCCAGATCTGCATTAGGAAACAAGGCATCATTTATTTAAACAATTAGGAGGATGGCTAACTGCTGGGAAGTTTGCCCGGCAGAAAAATCATGTCTCTACTACGTAGCCTCCTAGATTACAAGACAGCGCATGCCATGGAGTTTTTGACTGCCGTGGGAAATGTGCAATCCTTCTATTTTAGATATTTTAGGTCTAGAGACAATCGACAAACGGGCCACTTCGGCGACATGAACTGTTTGCATAGCAGCCAATTCTAGTTTCCCAAGGATGCTAAATGGGCACAAATGATTAACAAGAGGAATCCCCGAAGAAAACAAATATTTTAATCCCATGGTTTTTAATCTTTGCACCCCTGAATCATAGGATCATGGAGTTGGAAGAGGCGTATAAGGCCATGAAATCCAACCTGTTGCTTTAGGCAGGAATAAAAAAATCAGACGGAAGTGTATCAGGCAGATGGTGCTCTCACTGGCCTGGGCGTAATAAAAAGGGCAGGGGGAAAAAAGCATTTCTACCTCCGTTTTGTCTTCTTATGTCTGATTCCTCCATGCCCCTACCCTCAGTTATATGAGCAAGAGATATTGGCAGCCAGAAATGGATTTAACTTTGGATCAGGTTGTATATAAATTCATTTTGACGAAAACAAACCATCGATGCTCCAGTAACATTAAAGGAAAACATGGATTCCAGTAAAACAATGAATGCCACTCTCCCGCTTTCCCCCCTTTTCACATTTCACACATAACAAATGGAAGAAAACAGATTTTTTTTTCTTTTGGGTGGGGAGAGACATACGGTCATCACATCTCAAGAGACAAGATGTTCCACCATCAGACCTTCCAAAAAAAAAAAAATTGTACAGGAAAACTACCTTTTCTGGTTATAATTCATTTTGACGAAAACGAACCATCGATGCTCCGGTAACATTAAAGAAAAACATGGATTCCAGTAAAACAATGAATGCCACTCTCCCGCTTTCCCCCCTTTTCACATTTCACACATAACAAATGGAAGAAAACAGATTTTTTTTTCTTTTGGGTGGGGAGAGACATACGGTCATCACATCTCAAGAGACAAGATGTTCCACCATCAGACCTTCCAAAAAAAAAAAAATCTGTACAGGTAAACTACCTTTTCTGGTTATTTTTGGTTTTAAGAACCAAAGCTATAAAAGACAAGTACCTTCAGTATCTGAAAACGTCTCTCTGTTTTCAGCATGAGACTTTCTTTTTGAAAAAGCAATGAATATATATATATATATTCTGAACAGATATATTTCTCAAGCATTCGTAACACTTCTGCAGTACAATTGTGAACATGTCTACTTAAGAGTAAGCTCCGTTGGGCTCCGACATATTTGCCCCCTAAATAAATGGGAAGACGCAAACGGCAGGAGGGTTCTTCCACTGCTACCCTGCTGGCTAGCATAATGGTATCCGTAGTCCCGCACATCTGGAGGGTCCTAAGTTGGGGGAAAGCTTGTGTTACTAGGGAGTAAAGCTAACTAAACACATCTCAAAAAAAACCTGCACTGGATTGTGGCTTCAGAAAGCTGCAGGAGGCTGAGAGATTACGCAAGGTGACAGCCTCTTTCTGGTTGAGCCTAGGAAGAGCAGAAACCTCAAACAGAATACATAATAATCCTTTGGATAGAGATGCTACCCCATAGGATGTGCTGCACAATTTGATGATTGGACATCACCGGTTTTCTATTGCATTTCCTTTGTCATTTTTCATCGGAGGACAGAAGAAATACATTCACTGTGGATATTTTCTGAATCTTGTCCTGAGACAGCAGTGTATAGATGTGTAATGTGTATTAAACTGTTGTCCAGTTTTTCCATTTCCCCATTTTTTGGAAGGGTGGGTGGGGGAGAAACGACAGTGACATTTACCCAGGAGTCAGTTTGCAAGATTAAAATATACCAGATTGCTTTGTTCAGAGAAGAGAGGTATAAAACTGTGCTGTTTCATTTCAGATTTCACATCCATACCCAAATTTTCTTGATTTCTTCCCCCCATAACTAAACTGGGAGAATCCACTTAGGAGCTGAAATGAACCACTGGATTGGTGCCATAACACTGCCCCACTTGTGTGCATTTCTGAAAAATCCCCGGTGGGTCATTCTTGCACTATTGAAAATAATAATAATAATAAATTTCTAAAAGATGGAAAGGGTATAGGAATCACATGCTAGACTTGCTCACAGCGATGGAAAGAACGAAGAATCATATCGAAACGTGTTTTTGGGAACCGCAGACAAAAGGATCAACTTCTGTTTAATATCACATGGGCGCACACAACCATACATGCACGCAGGGCTCTTGCGTAATTGTAAAAAAAAAAAAAAATGCCACCGCAAGAGGTTGAACCCCATTGGAGGAAAAAAAAACCCTATACATATAGTCAAAATATTAACAGCAATGAAAAAAATAATCATTCACGGTCAGTCACAAAGAGGAGATCTTTGGTTTTTCCCAATGGAGTCTTTTCCGGAAGAAGAAAGAAAAGAAAAGAAACGGAGTCGGGAGCTTCTCAGCCTAAAGGCCCCTTCATGTTTTTGGGTTGGTACATCGGCTGCTCCAGAGGCATCATGCCGAAGCAATCTGCAGGGTTGCAGTGGCCTTCTTTCCCCGGAGGCCCCGTTGCTCCCGGGGGGCCCGGGATACCAGGGATACCCTGTTGTCCCATTGGCCCAGGGAGACCCATCTTTCCATAGCCGGGGGGTCCTTGGATACCTGTGGAGAAGAGATGAGAACAAGACGAAAGGGGAGAGAAGTTTTGGGAGGTCCAGAAAGGTTTGGGTCTTGGGCACAAGTCATTTGGAGATGTCTGCTTTGTGAAATGGGATGGGATTGCAAGGGAACTGTCCCTCCATAGGAGAAGAGAGTGGTGGAGATCAGTCCGGTAAGAGCTGAGGTTAAGCTGCCACCAATTAGCTTGTAAAGCTATGTACAGTCATGCCCCGCTTAATGATTACCCCGCATTACGACGAATCCACTTCACGATGATGTTTTTGCAATCGCAATTGCAATCGCAAAACGATGCTTTAAATGGGGGAATTTAACTGTGCGATGATCGGTTCCCTGTTTCGGGAACCGATTCTTTGCATTACGACGATCAAAACAGCTTATTGTCGGGTTTTCAAAATGGCCGCTGGGAAAGTCCTTGTGATTGCAAATACCAGTCAGGAAAACAAGTGAACATACATGAAAAGAGAGAGAGAGAGAGACGGGGAACTTTACCTTGAGGGCCTGGCGGTCCACTCTCCCCCATTATGCCAATTCCTTTGTCTCCCTTTTCTCCTCTGGCTCCAGGTTCACCTGGATCAAAAGAAAGAGAATGGAACAGATCCTACAAGGTAGACCACCAGACTCTGGTGCCTACAGAATGGTCTTTATGCATAGGGCATCTGGAACCCTGTTGATGTGCCATCAAGGGGCTCCAGATGTTGTTTGACATCTTTGACAACAGTGTCAGCTCTTACCTCTCATGCCGGGCACACCTTGTCGCCCCTCTCTTCCTATCTGTCCTGGTAATCCTGGGGCACCCGGAGGTCCTGGCCGTCCAGGAGTTCCATCTTTACCTGGGGGTCCTGGCCGTCCTGGCTGGGCAGACACTTCCACCGGCAACTGCATCCTGGAAGTGTAATACGCCATTCGCTCTGCAGGGGGAGACAAAGGCTGTTAGAAGGACTGTAACGACCGCCCACTGTCCTGGTTGCTCCTGATTTATTGTCAGTTTCAGGGAACGCAGCAGGAACCTTGCATTTATTAGCTAAGTGGGAAAAGGTGGGAAAAGTTACATTTTATTACTGGCTATACTTCTTGTGGAGTTCTGCGAACAATCGTCCCCCAAAGTAACTTTTCCCATCTTTTGAAACAGGAAAGTACGAATGGTCAAATCCCATATATCAAATGCCATCCTCAAACTAACTTAATTTTTGAAAATGCTTTAATTAACATAGTCCTATATCACTTTTCTGGGCCGTTTTCAAGGCAATTTATGGTAACATTTTTTTCCTGTGCTTTTTTTTCATGCTAGCAAAAACCTTTTGTTATATTTCTCCAGTTTCATACCTGATCTTAGTCATACATTTATGGCTTCTGCATAAAATTACACTGACGACTGATTTTTATGGCCACTGCTTCTGAGATTTGTGTTGTCCTTTTATTGAATTTTATCGTATCTGCTTTTCTTATTTTAAAGAGTACACTGCCCCGAGACTCCTGTGCTGAAGGGCGGTTTATAAATCCACTGGAAATATATATGTCAATCCACATTTGGCTCACAGTGAGAGTAAAGATGGAAGAAACGTATGTTCTGAAATGCGTGCTGTGAGATACAACACTGGAAAAGGGCTTGAGACTTTAAAGGCATATCTCTTTATTATCAACTGAAGCTAATTTTGAGACGGTGAGAAAACCTTGTGGGTCAATCCAGCTACACCTGTTGAATTTGACAGGTAGGAAAGAGTTTTGTTGCAATGCCTTTCTGAAGATTTTACAAAAATGTGCACATTGCTTAAGATTCGGGATGGAGTGATATATATATATATATAAGGATTGGCACCAAGCCTAAGAATTAAGCACTTGAAACTCTGTAGGTGGATCTGTTGATTTCACTTTTTTCCACATTTAAGTATTTGCAATCACAAGGACTGTCCATCCGAACTATGAAGAAATTTGCAAAATTCTACGAATTCTTGTCAGGGACATGGAACTTTCGTACAGAATTTTGCCACAGACTGGTCACATTCCTTTTAATCTCCAGGCCAGTAGCTGGACACTTTTTCAGTTCGTGCCCAAAGCATGGATTTAGTTATGCTTTTCTTGTAGCCCTTTCCTGTTCATGCCCATATGCCACCTCATAAAGATGCCCCTCTTTGCTCATTTCATCCTTGCAGGTAAGGACAAGGAATTGCAATGACATATTTCCTGTAGACTTCTCACACTAGCAAGAACAACACTTTGTGGTGTGTGCAGAAGCCAAAATAGCCTGGGGTCTGTGCAGAACTGCAAAAGTGGACAGTTGGCAGGATTGCAGATACATCATCCTGAAGATTCAGTCTGTCCTGTGCTTGCTCTCTCTGTGTAGATACCTGTGCTTCCAATTTGCTTCTCAAATAGAAAGCAGATTACAGACACTTTATACAAATTACAGAGACCTGGAATCTGGGGGAAGCTCTCATCTTCTTCCTCTCATGCTGTGGGGCCTTAACATTCCTCATCTAATGATCTCATCATGTCACAAAAGCCAAAATAGATTGGAATGAGCTATTTAATCAGCATTCTTTCCACTGCTAACTCATTGTGTTGCTACACCTCTCCCCGACTGTTATACCAACCATCAAACATTTTGTTCAACTCTTGTCTGATGAATCTCCGGATTTCATCGTAATTAACAGCATCTCCCTGGTGGTAAAGAAAGGAAGAGGGGGAAAGGAGGTCATTTATTTTGTCTGTTCAGGTGTGAAGAAAGCAAAACACCCCTTTGGTCCACATTGTGGGCTAAGCTTACCGGGATTGCCAAGATTAAACCTGAAACATTTTGACTACAGCTCACTTCACTCTCTTGAGCCACCTTCAGAAATGTCTGCACTGCACAGTTAAAGCAGTTTGGTCCCGCTTTAACTGTCATAGCTTCACCTTATGGAACCCTCGGATTTGTAGTTTGATGATGTTCTTAGACTCCTCTGCTGTATTTCATGGTAGGAACTGTGAGAGTCCCTCTCACAGAGACGTCTAATGACCTCCACACACTGCACACCCCTGGCATAGAGACCAAGCAATTAAAGTGGAATCAAACTGGCCTATTTGGGCTTTAGAGCTGATCCAGAAAGTTTGTATTCACTTGTTCAGGTTAAACAAAACCATGATAATACATCAAATGTTTCCTGATCATGTAATCTCCACAGAGCCATTGTTGCCTGTTCAGTAGATGCTTTGTTTATGCATTCCCGCACATGTTCAGTTGTTACTTTGGAACTGTCCACTTGGAGCTATAAAAGAGTAATCTGTTTCACTGTTCTGTGAGACTCACTGTCCACATCTACTGTGCCTGTACCAGTGATTCTCCTGCTTTCAAAAGCAATAAAGTTGATTGTTGTATTACGGAGGTCTTGCTTTGTGTTTTGTTTTTCGGCCCCCTAGCCAGGAAAACTGGATCATCTTCGCCAAGAACACAGAGACCTCAAGACTAAGGCAGCCCTTGGTGAGAGGACAGCAGCCGCTTCCTCCAGGTTGGTTCCCTTTTCCTACCTCCAGCTTTCTTCGTAGAACGTTTGGCTTGTGGGCTGATATATGAGGAGGCAGTTTATGAACTGATTCGAGGCGTGAGTCCAGGAGACAGAAGCTGTGTCCCCACTCTGGTCAGGAGGAGTCATTGTGTTTGGTCCAAAAGTGGCAGGGGATGAGAACACCATTACATGCATCCCACAACACTGCCGCTGTTTAATTCCCACAAGGCTCCAGAGCCTCAAAGCTCGAAGAAGGGGACTGGCTGGGATTGGGCCCTGGTTGAGGAGGGAGTGTGGGTCAGAGGCTCCCCACAGCTGAAACCGCAGCACTTTGCTCTTGGCAGTCTGCCGATTCCCTGCCTCCCAGCTGACAGCAGGGGCAAACAGTAGGAACATGGAGGGCTCCGGAAGGTATGGTCACCGTTGCCCATATGCGGTGCAGAGAACACCAGGGGCCAAATGGTTCACTCGCTCAACTGCAACAAACAAATGCCACTTGCTTAAACAGTTCATCTTAAACCCAGCCCTCCCATTTTCCACTTAAAGTAATGGGGGGGGGAGAAAGGCGCTTTCTGGAGCCTTACTGGCCATTTGAGGCCACTGTCCTCTCTTTGTCTTCCCACCGAGCATCCCCCAACCCATGCCTGCTGAGTTTTTCCTCTCTCTTACCATGGTTCCGTGCATTCCTGGGGTCCCAGGGTTACCGGGGGGCCCAGGAGGCCCAGGCTGCCCCCTCTCACCCGAAGGGCCCCGTAACCCCATGGGGCCCATTTCACCACTCTTTCCAGGTCCTCCGGGCATCCCAGCCCTGCCTCTCTCTCCGGGCTGGCCCCTCTCCCCTGCCGATCCACGTTCACCCTAGAAGATGAAAAGGAGAGGAGAAATCCATGGGGGGCGGGGGGAAGAAGGTGTCCTCCCATCTGCCGCTTTCAGCCCTGTCTCTCTTACCTTCGGCCCAGCCGGTCCCACGGGTCCTGGTTTTCCAGATGGGCCCTAGAAAGAAGCAAAGAGGAAGAGCGTCCAGGGAGATAAGTACGGATCGTGCTTTGCTGTCTGTGACATCTTTGGTTCGATACCTTTGTGGACATCAATGTTATTCAACCCAAAGAGTCTCACCCCACCACTTTGACACATTATTCATCATCATCATCATCATCATCATCATCATCATCATCATCATCATCATCATCATCATCATCATCATCATCGGCATCCATACTGCCAGAGGAAGAATGCCAAGGAAATGCATTTCCAGTAGTATGTAATTTGACTCAGAGAGAGAGAGTGGGGGTGTTTCTTTTTGGACCAGTTCCTGAAAATGGAAAATTTTTTGATCCAGATGGCTAGACGGACAACTGTTATCCTACCTCTTTGCCAACTTGTCCATCCATGCCAGGCTCACCCTGGGAAGCAATAAAATAAAATAAAGAAATGTTAATGTGAATTTTTTATATGGTACCCATTCAGAGGCAACGTTTACAATACGTAACAACAGTAACACCCGTTAACGATGGTTGGCCACGGTCTTCTGTCTGGATTGTTGTCACATGCTTTTCGAGGGCCTGCCCTTGGAGACGATATGGAAATGTTGACTAGGGATGTGAAAGGAGGCAGAGGTTGTTCTGTGGTTTGAGGGACTTTGACGGCTACACAATCCACTCACCGGTGGTCCCGGATGACCTGGTGGACCGGGCTGGCCTGGAATCCCACCGAGTCCTCTCTCTCCCGTTGCCCCCCTCTCCCCCTTCTGCCCCTGGAGATGAGAAAGAAAAGGAGTCAATATTTGCTCAAAGCAGCTGAGGGAAAAATTCACAAAAAACCTCCCCCAATGGTTAGCAAGGTCCCTTGAGAAAAGATGCTACCTTAAAATTGTTGAAGCCCTATTCTTAAACACGCAGGGTCTCAAATGGGTAGAGCTCTCAACAGAGATGGGCACGAACCAGTTCGTTCCACTTTGTCCCGGTTCGTAAAGGCAGCAGCAGAGGTGCTGGTGCTTCCCACCTCCTGGCTGAATTAGCCACTCACAAGACTCAGTTTGCATGCTTTCCCCACCTCCTCGACTAATCTCCCAATCACGAGCAGGAGCACAGACTTCTCAGCTCCGCCCCTTCGTCTGAGTGGGAGATCAGCCAAGAGGGTGGGGCAGAGAAGCCTGAGCTCTTGCTGGGACTGGAAGACCAGCTGAAGATCAGGGAGGGCTAGGTCTGGGGAGTGGCTGGTTGAGCCAGAGGAGGTGGGGCAGAGGGCCGAATTGACGAACTGGGACGAACCAGTTCATGCCCATCTCTAGTTCTCAATGCAACCTCGGCTTCAAGACCTCCATCTCAAACTCCGCAGGATTATTGCTTATATAAGCCAAGAGTCAGTGAATGTTTTTGCCCCCAAAGGCCACATACAGAAACAGGCGGCAAAGGGATCTGTGCATGCGTGTGCACACACACCCACCCTTAACTTTCCTCCTTGTATTAATTTTGAAATGCACACCCCTTCCCCAGCTGCCAGAGACTCTCAGGCTTCATATTACCCCCTACGTCAGCCTCCAGAGCATTAAACAGGGAGTGTTATATGTTTCCATTTTCCATGTTGAGCAGTGCTGGATGCAACCCGCAGGATCCTAGCTTTTAAAAGCTCTCACTGCTGGGGTGGAAAAGAGCAGCCCCCGTGCACCCAAAAGGATCAATATGACAGATGTAAAGCTTGGCACCAAAGCGAAACAACAACAATGGGTGTAGGGTTATAATCCCCAAATCTAATTTAGTTTTCTTTCTCTCTCTTTCTTTCTGCTTCAGAAGAGCTCTGCTCCAGACCTGCTTCCCACAATCTCGGCTTTGTGCATTCACGGCAAAACCAAGAGACTCTCTTTTGACTCATACGCATCATAGGCCAAGGCAAAACCCCCCGTTTCATTGCCATTTTGATGTTGCTATCCATTACATTTCCATAGGGTGATGTAGAACTGGAGCATGAGGATGATGATGCAGTGGTCTTTCTCATTGTCATCGTTATTCTTGATGTCCTCATGGTCAGTGGTCCCCAACCTTGGGCCTCCAGATGTTCTTGGACTTCAACTCCCAGAAATCCTGGCAAGCAGAGGTGGTGGTGAAGGCTTCTGGGAGTTTTAGTCCAAGAACATCTGGAGGTCCAAAGTTGGGAACCAATGCTCATGTTAATCAGTCTGATCATCGTTGGGGTATGAAGTGTGTGTCCATTGGTGTTTCTATTGTTATATAACGTTAGTTTGATCTCCTCCTCTTTGCCACCCAGAATAGTGACTTCAATACTAACTGGGTGGGATAAAAATGTAATAAAATATCCTGCTTCGAAAGAACTTTTCAAAGATATTTTGGGTGTGCTGAGATCAGCTGCTCTCTCAATGCATTTACTGGACTCGCTAGTTCGGCTTGAAGGGGAGATCCCAACATTGTACGTTACTCGTTTTTCAGGTTCTACCAGGGAAGGAGTTGGGGAGAGGCTACCAAAAAGAGCTGAAAGCAGCCAAGAAGGAACCGACAGTGTAGGGATGATACTCACAACTCCCGAAAGTCCTGCTGGACCGGGCTGGCCGGGGCTTCCTGGAGGACCCTAGAGAGGGAGAGGCAAAAAAAGGTGGTAAGGAGGAGAGGGAGTAAGACACCGGTGTAAGGTCTAAATGTTGGCTAAAATCCTGCTCCGTCGCTAGGCCAGGTGGAAGAGGGATGGTCATAACATGCCAGGACTGCTTGGCCAAAGGATGGCCACCTGAATTCTCGGTTGCGTACCGAGCCACCCAACGGGTCCTCCATTGAGGAAGCCAAACGGCTACTCATTAATAATAGGGAACACATCATGGCCAGTGACGCCATTTCCCTCCCTCTGTCGTAACTACAGAACAGGATTTGGGCCACTAGGTTTATACGATCCATCAAGTACAACTCTCAGCCTTCAGCAGACAATACTCAGACTGGTCGTTTGCGAATTTTTCCTTTCCTTTGTCACCTTTCTCGGGCGTGTGTGTTCTTTTTCGATTGTGTCTTCATCATTTGATGTTCTGATTTACCTCACACCGGGCAACACCCGTAACAAAGTAAATTCCATAAATTGCACAAGCGAAGAGGTGAAAAAAATGAAAAAAAAACAAAACCGGATCCTTTGAGTTACAGTTGGGGAGTTTTATTCCAGTTTTTTGTTTGTTTTATTTTGTTTTTACACTTTCGCCTTGTCTTTGGATTAAAAAAAAACACCAAACAGTTTTACCTCGCCTTCTGCCCATCAGGCAGCTGAGGAAAACAACGTCAGATCCAAATGAAAAAGGCACCCAAAACCAACCACAAAACAGGAAGAAATAAGCCAAAATCAGCAGTAATATTCTG